ACTGGAAAAGAATGTATATTGTGCTGTTGTTGGGTGAAGTTCTCTGTAGATGTCTATAAGGTCAAGTTGGTGGATTGTATTGTTTAGCTCTTCTGCATCTTTGTTGAGTTTCTTTCTGGTTGTTCTATCTTCATTGAAAGTGGTGTATTAAAGTCTCCCACTATGACTGTGGAGTCATCTATTTGCCTTTTCAACTATTTTAAAGTCTGATTTATGTATTTTGGGGTTCTTTCATAGGGTCCATAGATATTTATCATGGTTATAGCTTCACATACAACTGATCCTTTAGTCATTATATAATGTCCTTCCTTGTGTCATATGGTGGTTTTTTGTCTTAAAGTCAATTTGATCACAAATTAATATTGTCAATCCTGCTCTTTTATGGTTACCATTTGCTTGATATACCTTTTTAGTCTATTTTTGTTTTTGTCTCAAAAATGTGTCTCCTGTAGACAGCATATTGATGGGTTTTGTTTTCTTATCCAATCTGCAACTCTCTGTCTCTGGAGTGGTGCATTTAATCCATTAACATTCAGTGTAATTATTGACAAGTATGAATTGCTTGCTGTCATATTGTTATTTGTGTTTTCATGGTGCCCCTTGTTTCTTTGTTCCACATTATTTTCTATGCTGAGCTCATTATGTTTATGAATCATGATATCATTTCCTTTGTTGCTGTTGACTTAGTATTTGTGCTTATCCTCTTTTTTATTGTAATGTGAAGGTTTATCTTGTTTTTGTTTTTTAGGTTAGCCTGTGATTTATATTTTTCTTCCAGAGATTAGAACAGTCCATTCCATCTTGCAATTCTCTTGACTTCCTCACCATTTAGAAGTTCTGTAACTACACAGTATTTTCCCTCTTTTTGGTTTGTAGTTGGTGTCACTTGGCAACTGATGTCTCTAGTTCTCTGTTTACAATCTTGTAAGCTTATTTTACTTTGGATATGTCCATAGGTGTGATTTCTAGTTTATGTCATCTTGTGTATTAATAGTCAGTTATTATTTGCTATATTTGGTTCTCTGTTCAAAGGACTCCCTTTAGTATCTCTTGTAAGGTTGGTCTGGTTTTAACAAATTCCCTTAGTTTCTGCTTATCTGGAAATCTACTAATTTTACCACCATATTTGAGGGACAATTTTGCCAGGTATATAATTTTTGGTTGAAAATTTTTCTCTTTCAGGGTTTTATATATGCCATCTCATTGCCTTCTCATTTGCATGGTTTCTGCTGAGAAATCAGAGCTTATTCTTACTGGTTGTCATTTGTAAGTAACTTTTTTTTTTCCCCCATGCTGTTTTCAGGATTCTTTGTCTTTGGTTTTGATGAGTTTAATGATGATATCTCTTGGTGATTTTCTTTTGGGGTCTATCTTGTTTGGGGTTTGTTGGACTTCCTGAATGGGATGCTCATCTTTCATCATATTAGGAAAGTTCTCCTCCAACAAATCTTGGACAATTTTCTCAGTGGTTTTATATTTCTCTTCCTGTTCTGGAATTCCAATTGCATGTAGGTTATTCATTTTGATGGTATCCCACATGAACCTTAGCCTTTCTTCATTTTGTTTTGATCTTTTTTCTGATTGATCCCTTTCCAAAGATATTCAGGTATTTGTCTTCAATCTTATTAATTCTGCCTTCCATTGCATCAATTCTACTCCTTTGCCCTTTCAATGTGTTATCTACTCCTGACAATTTAATATTAATCTTCTGGACTTATGTGTAGACTTATAATCATTTCTAATTTTTCATTTATTTTGTCACTTTGTTCTTGTATTTTCTTCCAAAATTCTTGTAGGGTTTTTTTCTGTGTTATCTTTAGTCTGTCTCTCAATTCTTTGCAGATACTTAAATATAATTATTTTTAATTCCTTATCAGAGAGTTCCAATACTGCTTCTTCCTCAGGGATGTGTTCTGGGTCTGTATCCAGCTCCCTTGTTGCTACCACTATATCTTGCTTTTTGTGTGGACTGTGATGATCTGTTGTCTCTAAGACATCGTGACATGGTTGTATTTAGATCTACGTTAACTGTTTGTGAAGAGCAGCAAGGTTGAGTCAGGCTTTTCTTGGTGGTTGTTTGTCATTGGCCCATTGGTGGAGAACGAAGTGTTGGCTGTCACTTAGCAAGTAAAGCTGCAGGAGGTGTGAGTGCAGTTGTGTCATATGGGGACTGTTGCTGTCTTCCACTCAGTTAGGCAAAAGTAACAACTGAATAACCATCAAAAATGTAAAAGCAAATGGACAAAAAATACACCGTGTAACCATAGGAAAAATAACCAAAAAAAGAAAAAAGGGAAAAAGAAGAAAAAAGAAAAAAAAATCTGGGGAGAGGGCAATAAGAGAAAAAAGGTAGAGAAGGAGAATAATGAAGAAAAAAAAATGGGAAAAACACAAAAAGAAAAACAAGGAATGGGGTTAACCATAAGAAAGAAAAAAAAAAATTGCACCCAGGAACAGGGAAAAGAAAAATGCTGAAAACTAGAAGCTGGGTGGGGAAGAATAAAGAATAATAGTAAAAAAGACAAAAATAATATTACTAATAGTAGTTTTGAAACAAACACAAACAAACAAACTGAAAAACAGAAAATAGGGAAAAAAAATCGGGACAGGGCAGAGCAGGGTACTCAGGCTCCATCTGAGCACATAGACTCGGATGGAATTCCTGCTGGCCCAGAAAGTGGGTGGGAGTAAGGGATGGCCACACCTCCATTCACCAAGAGTGTGTGGGATATAAGAGTAACAAGGGGAATGTCACACCTTTCCAGAATGTCACACCTCCATTCACCAAGAGTATGTAGGGTATAAGAGTAACAAGGGGAATGTCATACCTCGTCCAGGTCCAGAATGTTCTTGTGGTTCCCAGCATGCAGGGCCTGTTCTTAAGACCCTGAAATCTGGGAGAATGCTGCAGCTTGAAATATCCAAAATTCTCAAGCCCCTTGTAAATATTCAAAATGGCTGTGCCCTCTGGACAGGCAAAAGTCCACAGCTAAGCCCACCTTCCTCTTTGCTTCTTCTACTTTTATTCCCCAGCCACCAGAGCAGTCCTCCATGTAGTCTCTGGGTAGCAGGGCTGATTTTTAGGTTAATTCTTAGGTCCTAACACCACTTGGAGGAGCTCTGGTAGCATAGTGCCTAAGGAACTTGACTGCTAACCAGAAGGCTGGTGGTTTAAATCTACCAGCCACTCCTCAGAAAGAAGGTTGGGCAATCTACTTCCATAGTGATACTGCCTTGGGAACCCAATGAGGGGTCTCTATGAGTCGGGTCCAACTCAGTGACACATAACAACAACAACAACACTTGGCAATATTCAAGCTGTCGGTGCCATCAGGATCGCTGCCAGATCACAGCTCCATATGTCTCCTTTTTTGTTTTCATGCAAATTCTTCTGCTAGTTGGAGTTTAGTCCACTTCTATATCCTTCCTTTCAAGGCTCAGGGGTCCAGGATTATCTTCTGTGTCTGTGTTAATTGGTTCCCCTTTTCTTTGTTTTAAAGGGTCTATGCAATCTTGCTGCCTATTCTGCCATCTTATTGGAACTCTTTGATCCTTTTGCTCTTTCTTAAGCTCTGAACTACAAGATCATGTAAACCTGACATATACAACAACCCCAGAGCACATATACTACAAGTACACACTCTACGACTATTACTACCCAAGACTGGCAAAACACCTCCACCTGCATTATTTCCTTTAATTAACCCAACTGTCTTTCAAACTGACATCCTCAAAGTAAGATGTGTGAAGATGTTTTCAATGTTTTACTAGAACAGAGAATGACAAGTATTATGCCTTCAATATTGACCACACTTCAACATAAACAGAAATCCTCACAATTGGACCAATAACAACGTCATGATAAATGGAGAAAATACTGTTGGGATTTCATTTTACTTGGATCCACAATCATCACCCATGGAAGCAGCAGTCAAGAAATCAAACCATCTATTGCATTGGGTAAATCTGCTGCAAAAGACATTTTTAAAGTCTTATATTCCATGGTATTTGTAATTGCCTCATATGCATGTGAAAGCTGGACAATGAATAAGGAAAAATCAAAGAAAAATTGATGCACTTGAATTATAACGTTAGTGAGGAATATTGAATATACCATGGACTGCCAGAAGAACGAACAAATCTGTCTTGGTGAAAGTACAGCCAGAATGCTCTTTAGAAACAAGAATGGTGAGACTTTATCTCAGGTACTTTAGACATCATATCAGGAGGGAACAGACCCTGCATAAGGACAACATGCTTAGTAAAGTAGAGAGAAAGCAAAAAGAGGAATATTTTCAATGAGATGGATGGACACAGTGATTGCAACAGTAGGCTCATATATAGCAATGATTTTGAGGATGAAAGACTGGGCAACATTTAGTTCTGTTGTACATAGGGTTGCTATGAGTTGGAATTCACTTGATGCTACCTAACAACAACAAACAACATGCCCATTTTTATTTTAGATCCTTTTTTTTTAATTATTCTAGCGACAACTTTTGAATTTACCAGAACTTATACAGACCTCAAAAACGCACAAATAACAAGAACAACAATGCACTGAAATTACCAAAGTAAAAAATGGATTCCAGGAAAAATTATGATACTGATGAGTGTGACTTGGCAGTCAAATGTAAACCTTGTTGATGATATCATTATTTAAACTATAACTTAACAATCAAATGCTACTTAAAGTATAATCTTGTTCTATCTTATGATAGGTTCTATAGACACAAATATAATAGTTATTTTTTAAAATTCGCCAAATTTTATTAATATGATCTGAAATAATAGATTTGTGTTTGACATACAATATATCATTTGGAAGAAAAAGCTCTTATAATTTTACTAACTTTTATTAGTCTGCCAGTCTTGAAATATCAGAGACATTAATAATCAAAATCTCTAGCATCTAGACAGGTAATCACTTGGGTTACTTTTTTGTCAGTTGTTTCCCTTACCCTGGGTACAAATGGAAAAAAATAATGAATGCATTATCATTAAATGTTATTTGACCACGGCAGTGTAATGACATGTTGCTTGTCCATGAAATCCTCTTCATCCTCATCTGTAGTGCTCTCAGAAGGTGTCAGCCAAAATGGAATTTCAGTATCTTTTCCAGAAGAACTGGAAATACATTAAAAGATCAATACACATTGTACAGAACCAGGTTTCAGCTCTTCATTTATCTTCTGATCAATATGAAATACTCTGGAGTCATTGGAGACAGGTGGATGTGAGGGGGCTGTATCAGATCGGGGCCATAATTTTCAACATGCCCAATACACCATGCCTCCTTTTAATGAAAAATTCTCATAGTTCTCACTCTCCCAAAATATAAAGCCACAGTGGAACCAAGGAGAAGATTTTTATGGTCTCCGGTTGTATCTTTCATTGGTGATTCAGAAGGTACTTCAGAAACTTTCAGAGCCTCAGGGTCATCATTAAGAACATTCATCATTATACTGGCTGGTTAAAAGAATCCCAGTGAATAGATTGCCAGATAAATCACCTCTTTTGTGTACAGTAAATTAGGACTCTGTGAATAGCCAGTCAAGATATGCCAAAGTCAAAATTAATGACAGCAATTATATAGTTATTTTATTTTGTTGTATTTTATTGTGTGGCAAGGGAACAGGTGGAAACTCTAGCACTTCAGTTGTCTGAGGTTTCAAAAGATAGGTAACATGGAGGGGACAGAGAGGAACCTATATAATTCAGATTTTTCCATCCTAAATCATCTGGATTCTCTGCCCATGTATGCCTTTAATATAAAATATTTCACCCTATGCTGGATAGAATTGTTATTCAGATTATTTCTTATATACAACAAAGTCCAAACCAGCAGTTTCTAAACTCTAATCTGTGGACCAGTGTAGATCTAATGGTGGTAAAGTTTTCTCTGGTCCAAAAAGTAAAGAGAAAACAATAATGCAGTTTTGACTTTTCCCACAGCATTTATAATAATGTTAAAAGACTGTGTTTTCTTCTGCTAGTGCGTTGTTCTTATATTTTCAGTGAAATGATATTGAGGGTAAGTGGTAGGTTTAGTTTGTTTTTAATGACATTTTAGGAAATAAAAATTAGCAACTGGATACTGGCTTCACGTTTTGTTTTGTTAAAAATTTAAGTAGTAGAAAAGCAAAAACCCAAAAATTATATTTCAATTACTTTATCCTTCAGAAAGACAGAGTCACAGATTCCCTTTTACTGTAATATGACATTTCAAAGAAATCAGAGGGATTTACAAGTCAAAGGACTTTTTACTTTTATATTTATTCCAGAAGGAGCATTCTCCTTTTTCAAGGAATTTCAGGTTGTCATTACTAAACAAAAACAATGGACTACTTTTCTAAAGCATTTAGTGGTATAACTTATGTCCCTTATAAATTGATCACTGATGAAATTATACAAATTAAAATATGCTCTTATTAACAATCTAGACTCAATTTTAAGACAGAAACTTCTCAATATTCTATTTTAAAAACTATATTCACATTGGGTAAAATTCTATTAATGCAAAGCATTGAAATTTATTAGTTTAATTAATTCAAGTAATGAAATTGTCTTTCAGTATGAGAAGAAATGATGAAGGATTATTAAATTCCAAATGTCTTTTCATTTTCCTGATATACATTATGCAGCAGACCTATCTCTTCAAGTTAAAGTAAAACTTTACAAGCCTTTTACTAAATCTCACTAACAGGTCAGAAAAGGAACCAAACACTTTATAAAGAATAGGTATATAAAGTATACATTTGAGGATTTTTTCTTTATATAGTATTGTAAGGAGCTCTGGTAGCTTAGTGTGTAAGGCACTTGACTGCTAACCAGAAGGCTGGCAGTTCAAACCTATCAGCTACTTCACGGAAGGAAAATGTGGCAATCTACTTCTGTAGTGATATTGCCTCAGAAACCCAAGGAGGAATCGCTATGCCTATGAGTAGGGTCTGACTCAACGGCACATAACAACAACAACAACACAACAATAGTATTATAGATTTGAGACCCTCCCAAAATGTGTGCTGTAAAGCCTAACCTCTATGCCTTTAGTTATAATCCCATTTAGGAATAAATTACCTTTGATATGTTAATGAGGCAGGATTAGTACAGAGTGTATTTTGAGTCATTCTCTTTGAGATATGAGATTAAACAAGCAAACTAAGCAGCAGAGATGGGAGAACACACATGCCAAGCCACATAATGATTGCTTTGCAGCAGAAGTTCAAAGAGACAAGGACCTTCCTCCAGAGCCTTAAAATCTTCACTCTGAATTTGGACTGCTAACCAGATGGCTGGCAGTTCAAACCCACCAGCTACTCCTCGGAAGGATGATTAGGCAATCTACTTCCATAGTGATACGGCCTCAGAAACCCAAGGAGGTGTCTCTATGAGTCACATCTGACTCAAAGGCACTGAGGGTTTTTCTTGTTGTTAAATTGAGAAAGTAGTGATGGTGATGTAATGGATAAGGCAGTTGGCTGCTAACCAAAAGGTCAGTGGTTCCAATCCACCAGCTGCTCTGAGGAAAGAAGATGGGGCAATCTACATCCATAAAGATTTAAAACCTCAGAAACCCAAAGGGAGTTGCTATGAGTCAGAATCGACTGGATGGCAGTGAGTTTGTTTGTTTGCTTTGTAAACTATGAGAAAATAAATTTGTTAAAGCCATCCAGCTGTGGTATTTCTGTTATAAAAACACATTGAACCTACCAGCTGCTGCATGGAAGAAAGATGAGGCAGTCTGCTTCTGCAAAGATCTACAGTCTTGGAAACCCAAAGGGTATAGCTGTAAGTCGGAATCAACTTGATGGCAGTGGGTTTAGATAACTAATATAAAATTTGGTACTGAAAGTGGAGTGCTGCTCTAACAAATACCTAAAATGTGGAAGTGGTTTTGGAATTGCGTATTGAGTAGAGGCTGGAAGAGTCGTAAGGCATCTAATAGTGAAGGCTGAGATTACTTGAAGGAACTGTTGGTAGAATTATGGACATCAAAGAACTCTGGTGAGGGCTCAGAAGGAAGTGAGGAGAGCTATGGGGAAAATTTTTATTGTTTTAAGAGAATGCATATGGTGTCAGCAAGAGAATGTTGTTACAAATGTGGATGTTAAATGTGTTTCTGGTGAAACTTTAAAAGAAAATGGTGAATGTGTGATTGAACAATGGAGGAAGGGTTTTTCTTTTTTATGCAAGGGCAAAGAACTTGCCTGAATTATGTTCAGATGTAAAGTATACTGGAAAGTAGAACTTGTATGTGATCCAATCTGGATATATGGCTAATGAGATTTTGAAGCAAGATCTTCTAGAGGCATATGGTTTTTCCAAGTTACTTATACTACTATGTGAGAGGAAAAAAATGGACTTAAAAAACGAACTCTGAAAAATGAAAACAGAACTTAAAAGATCTGGCAAATTCTGTTATACACAGTAAGGGCACATATCCTAGAATATTCTCCAAGCACATAGCTAAATATTTTTTTGTTAAAGAGATTAAGCCTGTGACTGATGGATCTAACCAACTACCAAAGTAGACAACCCATCACCTTAGACTGAAAGGAACAGAGTAAGAATGAAAGGAAAGAACACTACCTGCCTCTTGAAATTCTATAGGCAGGAACAGGCCAAAAAAGCCACATCTGTTGTCCTCCAAGAAAAGGAAAGGACTATCCCTGTAGCAGCTCAGAGATCAGTCGGAAGGAACAGGGAAGCAGGGCCTTTAAATGGTGAGGGCTCGCTCTCCTGGATCTCTAAGGGGAAAGCCCATTCTCATAGATTTCAAAGAGTTGGATCTCCACCAACTTGTTCCAAAGTTTCAGGCTGTCACTAATGTGTTCTAGAAGGGTGGAATTGAACTCAAAGCAGACAGGAAGGGCTGCCATGCCCAATGGGCAGAAGAAAAGGGCCTGCTGGGGCCAAGGGGGTGGGAGTGTCATTCAGATATACAAGGAGAATGGGGCCACCCAAAGCTAAGGGGGCAGAGTTACTGTCCCAGAAAAAGCAGGGCTGAAGCCCAGGGTCAAGAAGTCTCTGTCAGAATCCAGAAAGCATGACCAACACCCAGAATCTGGAGGGCAGGAAACAGAGGAATATTTTCTAGGTTTGATAGCTAATGTAATTTGTTCTGCTGGTTTTTGAACTTGCTAGGTACGTGTTATCTCTTCTTTCCCTCTAATTCCTCCCATTTGTAATGGAAATGTCTGCCTTGTGCCTGTTCCACTATTGTACCTTGGAAATAGAAAACCTGTAGTCTAGATCTCATAGGTTCACAGATGAAGAGGAATTTTACCCCAGGATGGAATATGCCTAAAGTCTCACCCATATTGGAGTTAGATGATTCAGATGAGATTTTGGATTTGGGGTTGATTAAGACTTTTGGAATGATGTGTTGGGATGAATGTTTGCATATGGCAAGAACAAGAATTTGTGGGGGGTAGAGGTAGAATGTTATGGATTGAATTGTGACCCCCCAAATATGTATTGTAAATCCTAACCTTAATGCCTGTGGTTATAAACTCATTTGGGAATGGGTTGTCTTTGACATGCTAATGAGGCAGGATTAGTGTAGGATGTATATTGAATCGGTCTCTTTTGCAATAAAAAAGAGACTGAAGCTAGCAAGCTAAGAAGCAGAGATAGGAGAACACATGCCAAGCCACATGAAGACCATCCTGGAACAAAAGCTCAAAGAGACAAGGATCTTCCTCCACAACCAACAGAGGGGGAAGGGCTTCCCCTAGAGCCTGCACTCTGAATTCGGACTTCTAGCTTCCAAACTGTAAGAAACTGAATTTGTTAAAGCCATCCACTTTTGATATTTCTGTTATAGCAGCACTAGATAACTAAGACATACAGTTAAGGCAATTAGATGGGCTTGTCAAATATTTTACTATGCACTATTTTTACAAGTAAGCAGCAGGCTTAACCTACCTCTGTTGCTGAAATCCACAGGGGCCCCTGGAGTTTGAGGTCTTAAGGAAATCCACAGTAGTATCACTCATATTCTGTAAATGGCTGTTGAATGCTGGTAACTCTTCTGAGGTTAGGCTGTAAAGTTTTTCTGAAGGATCTGAAATATTTTATTTCATACATTGTCAACACATAAATTCAAGAAACAAATGTTCAGCTTATGGTGCTGAAAGTTTACCTCAAGTAAACTACAAGTAGTAAAAAGAGTGTCAGTACGTATTTTTAATTGTCCCTCAATTTTCTGTGTGGATGCTTGTGGGGTAAGTGTGAAGTAAAATGAATCTAAGATGTCAAATTAGGGCCTTAATCATACGAATTTATGTGTATACACTTCAAAAATGTGTCAAATGTCCTGAGAATTCACACAATTTCAAAGAAAACCAAGTGATCCTTTTTAGAATATTGTGCATCTCCTCAACTTGCCTGCATGTTAAACACTGTATTATTTCTCTTTTTTTTTTTCCTTTTTTTCTGCTAGAAATAAAAGCTTTACCCCCACACAGTCTGAGATAAAAGGTTAGCTTTGGCAAAGCTATCCTTCCTTTCTTTGCTTCTTTGTTTTAGTTTGGGTAGATAATAACCATTTGCATTTGAAATAAGGAGAACTCTTAAATCTTTTCCCTTTTCATGAAACTAGCCTATAATTCAGACTAGGCAAGGACAAATAGTGTAAATTGAAAACAGGAAAAAAAAAGTCTTTATATGAATTAGTAAAAAATCAAGTATAGAAATAAATATCAAGATAGAAATAAATATCATCACTACTTTAGAAATCCTGTAATGCTTTCTTTTTGTCAGTGATGAAGTTTTAAGAGTCATCCAAATTATACAGGAGATTATAACTAAGATGGTTATATTTTAAACTGTTAAAATTATTGGGTATTATGATTCCTTCACTCTCATGAAATTGCCAAGTAAACATTCTGGTCAGAGGACTAATTAAACACTGTTGTTGTTATGTGACATCAAGTTGTCTCTGACTCATAGTGACCCCTCCTTGGGTTTCCAAGGCAGTATCTCTATGGAAGTAGATTGCCCAACCTTCCTTCCGAGGAGTGGCTGGTGGGTTTGAACAGCCAACCTTCTAGCTAGCATTCAAGTGCCTTAGGCACTATGCTACCAGAGCTCCCAATTAAACACTAAGCTACATGTATTCTACACATGACTGAACAGATTTTTTTTTGTGTGTGTGGTTAATAGCAGCTTGAAGTTTTTGAGCAAGCAGAGATTCTTTTACTGAAAGTAACTTAGATTATTTTGGCTGACAGATAGACTTCAATACATTTTAAAGCCGGAAGAGGCCTTACAATTATTTAGCCCAGTGACTTTCAAATTATAATACATAAATGAATTAAGGTGTGGGTGGGGGCAAATATTCAGTGTGCTCAGCTACTAACAGCAAGGTTGGAGGTTTAAGCCCACTTACAGTTTCCTCAGAAGAAAGACCTGGAGATCTACTTTGAAAAATGAGCATTGAAAACTATGGAGCACAGTTGTATTCTGACACAGATGGGGTTGCCATGGCTCCGAGTTGACTCTATGGCAACTTGCTTTAGGCATGAGGTTCCTGCTCCTACTGTCCCCAAAACAATCAGGACAGTTTTATTTAATCTAGTTTAAATATTGGGGATTTATGTAAAATTAATTTTGAAAAAATAAATTCCTTAGTCCAAATTTTTGAAACAATCTGACTACTCTCATCTCTTCTTGTTACAGATTAGAAACTAAGCATCCATAGAGAACTGGTAGCTTGTCTAAAATCACACAACCACATGATAGAAGAGCTGGAACTAAACCTGAGCTCTTTTAATTTGCCTATATTGTAAATTGCTATGTATAAGAATCTAATTCTCTAATTTTGGGATATTATCTCCTAATTTTTCTATAAGAGAAAAGAAGACAGGCATGCCTTTATATCTCCTAGTGATAGGGAATGCTGCCTGTGAGAAAGCAGATAAATTTCAGGATTTGGAATTATTGGAATGACAGTACTAAAACCTAATAGTGATTCTTAGATCTAAAAAATATCACCAGGAGAGATATTCAAGCTGAATTCTAATTGCGTCAGAATAGAGCTAATTGAAATAGTGGAAATAGAACAAGCCTATATTTGTAGAATTAATTATTCATTGCAAAACACATCTTTCAGAATTCCCTGGGATGTTAACAGAAGCAAAAGTGGCATCACTTGATTTTAGGTAAAAGAAAAAGTAGAGAAAAATAAAACTGCTTACAAAAACACTATTGTAGATTGTTGTTATGTGCCGTCGAGTCAGACTCGTAGCGACCCCTCCTTGGGTTGCCAAGGCAGTATCACTACGGAAGTAGATTGCCCCATCTTCCTTCCGAGGAGTGCCTGATGGGTTTGAACCACCAGCCTTCTGGTTAGCAGCCAAATGCCTTGGCTACTATGCTACCAGAGCTCCTAAAAAGTCAATTGAACTAAAACCCAAGTCTCATGATTTTCTAATACAGGGCTGAGTAAGATTGGATTGACATTTATATTGGAAATTTTACTTTATAATTGTCAAAACAGCTGATAGTTGAGCAATGGATTAGAGGTAAAACTATTGTCTCCCAGGAATGGAAAACGTTTGCTCTCTGATCATTGAAGAATCTTTTCAATGTAATAATAAGCAATTAGGCAAAGTGGGAAAAACTGACCAAACATAGAGTTCTACAGTGTATTGCTAAAAACCAAGGCATTTAAAACACATGCATAAAACTGCATTGCACAGGGAAATGAATTTTTCAAATTTATTTGAATAATGTTGTCGTTAGTTACTTTTGAGCCAACTCTGACTCCTGGCGACTCCGTGTGCAGAGTAGAACTGCTCCACAGAGTTTTCAAGGTTGTGATGCCCTTTAGGAAGCAGGCCACCAGGCTTTTCTCCCAAGGTGCCTCTGGGTTGGTTTGCATTTCCAAACTTGCTGTTAGTGGAGTGTTTAAACATTTGTGCCACCCAGGGACCTCCATTTGAATAACAGGAAGGAAGAAAAGAAAAAACAAACAAAGAAACATAAAAACTTCAAAGAATGGAAACAAAGCAGATAAGGTACACTTCAATGAGAAACAAGGAGAAAAAGAAAAACAACTTCTAAAGGACTATTTGGCATAGCTCCATATTTACATTACAAATATTTGTGGGCTGTGACAACCAGGGCACTTATCCTGCTCCAGCCTCGAAGCCCCTGCCAGCTTGCCTCTTTGCGTTCCTTCCCTCACCTCTCTTTTCCTGTTCCACTATGCCTTACCTTGTTTATCTCATTTTTTCTTATTCTCTCCATGCTGTCTTCCCCTTACTATCACTGTGCTCACATTTTCTCCCTCTTAAATGGTCACAATATTGACTGGAAGGATTTAAAATTATTTAAGCAGCAAGACAAAGGACCATGGAGGCATATGTGGCTGGGTTTGTCTCATTTCTGTGTGGCCACAGGAGAGCCCATGGGACTGGTACTACATTGTCCACAGCCTTAGATAACATATCCAAAAAGGGGAGATAAGACTGGACCTGCTTTATCTAGCTCACAGGGAAGATATTAAGATCCAATGAGGCAACCTTACATATAAAAACAACTAAGGATTATTATAGGAGCTCTGGTAGCATAGTGGCTAAGACACTTGCCTGCTAACCAGACGGCTGGCGGTTCAAACCCACCAGCCACTCCTCGGAAGGAAGATAGTGATACTGCCTCGGAAACCCAAGGACTCGACAGCACATAACAACAACAACAACAAAGGATTATTATAGGAGCTCTGGTAGCGTAGATGGGGCAATCTACTTCCGTAGTGATAAATGCCCCGGAAAGCCAAGAAGGGGTCACTATGAGTCGGGTCTGACTTGAGGGCACATAACAACAACAACAAGGATTATTATTACTTATCAAATGATTGCATATTCCTTATGTCAGATAGTTTGTTAATGTGCTGCCTTTCATTTACACGTCACCCTCCTTTTTTTCTTTTTTTTTCCTGCAATTCAAAGGAGCCCTAAAGAAATCTGCTGTGTAATAACTACAGCCTTGGAAACACAATGGGCCATTCTACTCTGTCATATAGGATCTAATAGGAATTGACTCCACGGCAATGGTTTATAGTCTTTGTTAAGTGTGTGTGTTGAATAAAGAGGGTAATTTTCATAAATATATGTCTCATATAAATATTTAATCATCAAACAACTTTATAAGATAGATCCTATTAAATATATTCATGTTTCATATACATATATATATAATCTTATGCAAAGAGAGATAAGGTCTCTCAAGGTTTCCCAAGAAATAAGGTTTCCCGAGATAAGGTTTCCCAAGGTCACGATCTAGCAAGTCCACCTGACCACTGAGCCTGGGCTCTCAACAGTCCTTCTCTCCTGCCTCCTCATTCCTGATTCAGAAGGAAGTTGTATCTGTAACCTTCATTCCTCACCCACCCATGGCCTCTCCAGCTCCTTCCAGCAATCTAAATCAAAGGAGAGACAGGGATAGCTTTACTTAATGTAGCTATTTTCTGTCCTTTCTTCTCCCAGCTCCTTGGCATGGCTGTTTCCAATGCCTCAGGCACTATAGCACCAGAGCTCCCAATAGAATTTAAGAAAAAGAAGTTAGCACGTCCTAGAGCTAACAGAAAACGAGTCAGAAGCACAGTTCTCACAAAAATGCAACTTCCACAGAGAAGTGAACACAATTACATTTGTATAAAAGTCTCCAATGTGTGCCTGTCTGTGTAAGACCAAACCCATGATGAGTTTTTCCTGACTGCAGTGTGAATAGTGAAATGTTAGGTGAAAATTTTCTGCCCATTGATGCTAAACAGACTGAAAAGGCCATGTGCAGAATTAGTGAATTTTCTGAAATGGTGTCTGATTTCACCATAGCATTATCACCTTACTGTCAAGTGAAGCTTTCCAAAAGCTGAGCACTCATCCAAAGCTAATCTTTCTGAATAGAAAAAAAAAAGTCATTCCAGGCTCAACAAGATATAAGTGGTTGTGTTCAGCTGCTGGGGCATCAGAAAAGCCCTTGTGGTTCATCAGCTATGCAATGAGTGCTTACTTTCATATACAAAATGCTATGTGTTCACATTAAAATACTGGTGTTTGG